TCCTCTGGGCATACAGAACCACGAGCCGAACTGCCACAGGTATTACTTTAAACCAAGTTTATTTGATTAATTTCTATGGTATTTCACTTCTTCTGTTACGATTTACCTTAGAACAAATATGCATAATGCATAAAGCGCATTCTAAAGTTATAATTAACTGAAATAGGTGAAACACCCTATCACCTGGCCTTTGGTACCGAAGCAGTCATTCCTGTTGAAATAGGAGTCCCAAGCTTTAGAGTCACCCATTTTGATGAAGGACAAAATGGACAACTGCTTCGAGAAAACCTTGATCTGCTTGCTGAAGTCAGAGAAGAAGCTCGGCTTCGAACTCTTGTATACAAGCAGAAACTAGCCAACTTCTATAATAAACGGGTCCGCCCTCGCACATTCAAAATAAGAGATCTTGTTCTCAGAAAAGCTGGCCTAACAGGGTTTGAAACTCGTTTTGGCAAACTCGCCTCGAATTGGGAAGGCCCTTATACCGTGGCCAAGGTGCCACATCCTGGTGCCTATGTCCTCCAAGACGCTGGAGGAAAGAAAGTTCATAGAGTCTGGAATGTCAATAACTTGAAGAAATTTTACCCCTAATAAAATTCTTTCAAGAAATCTGTCTTACAGTTCTTATTTAGTGATTATTGAAATTCATTTTATCTCTTATTCCATGTATCCGAGGTCAATCATTACTTAAATCTCACTTCTGATTAATAAAAGTCATTTCACATGTGAAGTACTTTATTTCCTTTTAAGTTCGTTCACAGTGATGTACTCATTCCTAATCTGCATGGAAGTTATTTACTTCTTCTTACTTCGTCTGAAGTGACTTACTTCCCCTCAGTTCATTTCTGAAATGGTTGCCTTTCATCCAAATCACATTTCACACAATCTCAGTTCTTTTATTAATAAAAAATAATACCAAAAATGTAAAGCAAATATAAACAAACACATGATTTCAAATATAAATTCCCATTTCAACTAAAATAAATATTACAAGCTGTTTAAATGTCTTTACAAAAAATAAAAAACACAAACAAAATTAGTTCTCTGCTGGAGGAGGTGGCTCCACTGGCTCTTCTTCAGTTGGAAGAGGTGGCTGTCTTGGCTGCTGCTTGTTTGGCAAAGGAGGCTGCTCATCATCGGAGGGAACTAGATGAATCTCCACTTCAGGAACTGGTTGGCTCTCATCCACTTCAACTCCCTCCACTCCTGCCTCCACCTCGTCTTCCTCTACCTCTACCCCTTCTTCCTCCACTGCCACGAACTCGAAGTCGAACTGTGGAGGGAAAACAGCACGTCCGTTTGCATCATCCTCCCACCTCAGTTTGATCTGAGGACGGAAGTCTGCTGATGTTGACGACCACTTAAGATTTTTTTCAAAATGAATGAAAAATTAAGGGTGAAATATATAAGAAAAAGGGAGTCGCCACTCGTCCAAATTATAAGGTGGGACAAGTCACCTAAAACAGGTCTACGCAGAGATCGGAGTTCGGGGGTTCGATTAAGAATGAGGAAGGGCATACGCGCACCTCACAATCCTCCGTTTAAACATGGTTGCAGACTTTAACATTGGGGGTTTTGATTCAACTTATTCATTATGTTTATGTTTGAGTCTTAAAAAGCAAGCTTGAAAAATAGATAAACCAAATTGCAACATTTTTAACATTTTGGACTAAAATGGACGAAATCAAAGATATGCATGCACAATGAACACAAGTAAAAACTAAAGGGACTGATTTGATTAAAATAAAAATAGAGGGCTGATTTGAAAAGGTTCAAAACTTTTGGATTAAAGTGCTTAAAAATGAAAGTTCTTGATGAAATTTGAAATAAAATAAAAGCTATCTTTGACTTTGACTAAAATTAAAGTTAATTGAGAATTAAAATTAATTAATCAAGATAATTAGTTTAATTGAATAATTAATTTAACATTAATTAAAATTAATTAAAATTAATTAATCACATTTACTAATCATCAACTTGAGATAATAAATTATCTAATTATCTCAAATCAAATTCAATAGATATGATTAATTTATTTTAATTAAAATTAATTAACTTCATTAATCATAAATTAAACTAACTCCCCTTAATTAATCAATAAAAATATGTATTTTTTTACTTTTTAACCTTTTTAGTTTTTTTTTTTTTGTTAGATTGGGTCGGGTTGACTCGACCCACAAAAACA